GACTCTGGAGCACGGCCTAGTGAGAGCCTGGCGTTGGCCTCTCTTTCCAGCATTGTTGGTGCTCTTGAGAGCATTAGCCGGGACATTCATGCGCACCATTACGGTGGTGTGGGAAAATGGTGGGACGAGCTTAATTTTATTTTTTTTATTGATAGAGGGTAATTGTATATATTTATGGAGTATACAGGTGTATACAGATGTTTTAATGTATATTTACATTGTAGAATGATTGAATTGAGCTGATAAGTCAGTTTTTTTTTTTTTTTTTTTTGGAGAGCGTTTTAGTATGGTGTGCTCGCCTTAAAGACTCAGAGAGACAGAGAGACAGAAAGTGAGAAATTGCCCCCCAGGGGGGATGGCCATGCCGCAATCCCTTCTCCTCCATCCTCCTCTCAGTTTCTTGGGCACGCACGCATATGCACCCCGGCGCGAGTTTAAGCCACCCGGTCTAGGACTTGAACCGCGGTGAACTACATGGGAGTCCAGCAACACAGCCATTATGCCAACTGCTGGTACCCCCCCCTTTTTTTTTTTTTTTGTAGTGAAAACATTTAAAATTTACCCTTCTAGACATGTGGAAATATATAATGCTTTATAATTTAGTATAGTCATCATTCTGTGTAATAGATCACTAAAGCTGAGTCCTCCTGTCTAACTGAAATTTTATACCCTTTGACCAACATTACCCTTTCCCACCCTTCCTTTCCTTCCAATAATTCTACTCTCCACTCCTATGAGTGACGTTCTGTTTTAAGAGATTTTTGCTATAGGGCTCGTGCACTTGCCAGAGAGAAAGAGACAGAGACATTGAGACAGGGAGAAATCACTCCCTCTGTGGGGGTGACCCTGCTGCAGTCCCTTCTCCTCCATTCTCCTTTTGGGATCTTGGGCACACATGCGCTCGGTGTGAGGTTAAAACTGCTAGGACTGGGACTCGAACCGCCGTCAACTACGTGGGGGTCCAGCAGTGTAACCATTATGCTATCTGCTAGTCCCCTAAGTTTGACTTTTTTTACATTCCAAGTGTAAGTGAGATCACGAAGTATTTCTCTTCCTGTGCCTGGTGTATTTCACTTAGCCTAGTGTCTTCCAGGTTCAGTTTGTACTTTACGAATTATGTTATAGTACCTGTACACAGTGAGTACTCTTATTATTGGTTTGGCTGACACCAAATTGCTGGTTGTATTTCTTTTTTTTTTTTTTTCCTCTTTTTCTCTCTCTTGAATTTGCTAGAGGGCATATGTATTCACTGGGGTGGGGGCGGGGATGGGGGAAAACACAACAAAGTACCCCCTCCCCCCATAGGGCATAGTGATGCTACAGTGCCTTCTCCTCCATTTGCATGCACACATTTGTGCCTGGTGTGATTTTCAAATTGTTGGGTCCGGATGCAAACCACACAGTTGGCCATTGGGGATCCAGACACCTTAATTACCAAGCCACAGGCTGGCCCTTCTGATGATATTTTTCATAGCAGATTTTGTTTTCCTACCCTGAGAAGAATCAAACAATATAGAGCAGCGTCCTGTGGTATGCACATTAGAAACTAGTCACTGATCGGACTGAGGAAACAGTAGGCCGCTCAGACCAGTGAGATAAGAGTAAGACCTCTGGATATTTTGAAAAAAATAGTGGAGAAAAGCTCTGGTCAGTGGGGCCAGCAGGTGGCATAATGGTTACATCGCTGGACTCCCACATGGCTGACCATGGGTCGAGTCCCAGACTTGGCAGCTTGAAACTCACACCAGGTGCGTGTGCGTGCACGCCCAAGATCTCGAGAGGAGAATGGAGGAGAAGGGGTTATGAAATGGCCATCCCCCAGAGGGTGATTTCTCACTTACTGTTTCTCTGTCTCTTCCGGCTACCGCATGTACCCTACAGCAAAAATCTCTCTTAAAACAAAAACAAAAACTCTGATCACTATCACTATGAACTTTGTGTTAAATGTATAGCATCCTTCTTCCATTTTAATTAGCATTTGTGAGGAAGGTAAGTTTCTGGGTGGTGCTCATCTTTATTTTATATGACCTTTTTTTCATGTCAGCCTAATACTTAGCCTGACTCATGGGGTGTCAACTTTAGTCTAAGAATTAGGCCAGGTTTCTTGTAGACCTTGTCACAGTGCCACTGGAATTTAGCTGGAGGAGAGAAAGTGAGATACACAACTGTAATTGTTTAGATGAAAATCTCCTTCAGAAGATCTTCTTAGGGACTGTCAGGCAGGATGGCCATTCTGTCTGGCCTTTGCCACTTCTGCTCTGCGAGTTTTGCACTGACCACATTGTAGGCAGAGATGACAGTTGATCATAGAGGTTCCCGTCTTTAATTTCTGGCTGATGCTTAAAATTTCATCATGATCAAGAACTCGATTTATTTACACAAATTATATTAGTCAAGAAAAATGCAGATATCCCTGTGCAGAGTTGGAGAGGTCAGTATCTGAACATGGAATATTGACTATTCAAAACTTTTTTTGATAGTCGCAAGAGCGTTCTACTAAATGAGACATTAAAAAATAAATTTTCCTTTGTGGGCAAATAGAAGCCCAGTTTTTGTTTTTTTTTTAAGAATTATTTTATTTAACTTTATTTATTATTTTTATTTCAATATTTCTAGAGAGAGACACACAGAGAGAGATGCGGGGGCAGGGGGAGAGAGAGAGACAGAGAGAGAGAGAGAGAGAAGAAAGTAAGAAAGCAAGCCTTCAGGTCCAGGACTTGACCCATTTTTTTTTTAAATGAGAGAGAGAGAGAGAAACATGGGATTTTTTTTTTTTTTTAAGAATTATCCTTTTAATTGTATTTATCATTACTATTTTTTATATTTCCCATAGGGCATGTGTACCCACCAGAGTAAGACAGAGAGAGAGAGAAAGTGAGAAGGCAAGCTGTCAGGTCTGGGACTTGAATTGCAGTCAGCAGTTCGAGTGCCCTAACCACCATGCTACCCGCTGGCCCTGAAGGTGGTTTTTTTTTGTTTTTGTTTTTTTTTGTTTTTTGTTTTTTGAGAGGTTTTTGCTGTAGGGCATATGTGCTCTCCAAAAAGAGACAGAGAGACAGAAAACGAGAAATCACTCCCCCCAGGGGGGATGGCTCTGCCGCAATCCCTTCTCCTCCATTCTCCTCTCGGGCACGCATGCACATGCGCCTGGTGTAAATTTAAGCCACCGGGTCCAGGACTCGAACCGCAGTCTACTATACGGGAGTCTAGTGACATAGCTATTATACCAACTGCTGGTCCCAAAGGTGAGTATTTTTAACAGGGTCTCGCTGTTGTGATTCTTTGCCCCAGCCTCCCAGTTAGCAGGATTACCGGCCTGTGCTGCCATACCCAGTCTGTTCACTTTGGGCTAGGATTGAACCCGGGTTTCATGGGTAGCCCGCCACCATCTGTGTCCCTGTGCCTGAGCCTTGGTGGACTTTTAATAGGTGGGGACTCCAACTAAGTCTGAGATGCTAAGGCCCTGAAAGAGGGTGAGGAAATGAGTACTGAAAAAGGAATGGAAGGGATCAGCAAGCGGCATAATGGGTATGTTACTGGACTCCCACGTCACATCCCAAACCTGGCAACTTTAAAACTCACGCCGGGCATGTGTTTGTGTGTGCGTGTCCATGTGTGCATGAGCATGAGCGTGCCCAAAATCCTGAGAGGAGAGTGGAGGAGAAGAGATTGTGGCCATCCTCTGTGTGGGGAGGGGGTGATTTCTCACTTTCTGTCTCTCTGTCTCTGTTTCTCTGGCGAGTGTACACACCCTATAATAAAAATCTCTCTCAAAAAAAAAAAAAAAAGGGAAAGGACATTTAAAAAGATACACTATGTGGAGCTGTCACGTGGTGTGGTGGTTAAGGGCTCTGGACTCCCACAGAGCCAACTGTGGTTTGAGTCCTGGACCTGGTGGCTTGCCTTCTCACTTTCCCTCTCTTTCTCTCTCACTCTCACTCTGTCCGTCTCTGGTCAAAATTGAAAATAAATAAAGTAAATAAATAAAGTTAAAATAAAAATAATGCTTAAAAAAAAGATACTCTATGCTGGGGTTGGCCCCACAGTGCTGTACATAAAGAACTGGATCCCACACTACCATTCGAGGTTTGAGTCCCAGCCTTGGTGGTTTGAAAAACATGCTGGGTGCATGTACATACATGCCCTAAATCTTGATAATATGGAGAAATGGAAAGTCCTTATCTCTCGGACTTTGTTAAAAAAAAAAAAAAGAGGGACAAGCAGTTGGCATAATGGCTATGTCGCTGG